GATGAAAACATTAAAGAGGTTCTTTGCATAATTAGTGGGTCTGAAAGTTGCTAAATCTAGTGCTGAAGTCGCACTTGTGAGACGCGGGAGCTGATGGCAGGGGATGGTGGATATTTGTGGCGGTCAATGTGGATATTGTGGATGAGTTCTTCTGTGTCATCACGTTCTATTAGTTCTACAGCTTCAGTTTCGGAACTTTCACGCTTAGTAACACATACAGCTGTTCCCTCACCACAGTGCAACAGTGAAAAGGGACCCCTTTCAAACAGTGTCGCGTTCCGAACGTTGTTTAAGCGACACTTTGTATTATGGTATTTAAAAAATTCATATCATAACAAAAATAAACACCGGTATTCGGTATGAAACGGTATACCGCCCGGCACTAGTGTGGCTGTAATTTTGAGGTTTTCCTTCCTGTTACTCTCATAAGTTAGGGCAGTGATAACATGAATCTGCTGTTACTGAACTGGTAATGCAAACTGTGCTGTGTTTGGTGGCTGTGTGTAAGCTGCAGTGTGCACTTCATTTAAAGGGGTCATATGATGCGATTTCAATGTTTTCTTTCTCTTTGGAGTGTTACAAGCTCTTGGTGCATAAAGAAGATCTGTAAAGTTGCAAAGACTAAAGTCTCAAATCGAAAGAGATATTCTTTATAAAAGTTAAGAGTCAGCCACGCCTACCTAAAACGGCTCGTTCTAACACGCCCCCACATGTCTACGTCACGATGTGCGAAGATTTGCATAACACCGCCCAAATGTTCACACAAAGAAAGAAGGAGTAACTTTTATTCTCGCTGTAGTATTGTAGTTGTTGCCGCCGCTGCCATGTCGTGAAGACGCTGTGTGTTTCGTTTTGAAAGCGAAACTACTTTGGTTGGCCTTCCAAAAGAGGACGATATCCGCTTCGTCATGCCAGTGTAACAGAGTTAAAAAGAACATTAATTCTAAGGATATTCATGGTGTTGAATTACATGAAATTAGAGGGTAAATTAAATCAAACGGTGTTTTGGTGCCCCCTGGTGGTTAATGCGTTGCAGACATTCATTATTTTGTCCTTGCGCGCCTACCGTAGTTCAGCAGAAAATGGCTGACACTGCTGCGGGTAAGCGTGTTACTCTTCTCTCCTGTTTAAAAAGTGATATAAGTGTGTTTAATATGAGTTTTTCACATGTAAACGTTTGTAGTGATTATATCAACATATGTACAGTGAGTTGGATGGGTTTATATGTCCGATGGAAACTTTGTTGAGTACTTATCATTGTGCCTCGTGTCTCATGCAGTGAAATTAACATGTTGCTGCTGATGTAGCTTCAGATGGCTAAATGGAAAACACACAGTTACCCTTAATGAGAGTGAGTTTGTTTATTTTATGTTTTTCTTATTTCAGTGGTTTATGTCTGCAGTGTTTTCACCCTGTGTAATAATACATTTTGATGTATTCCTCAGGTATGTGATTTTCATGTTTATTTTTGTTATTTTGTTAACATGGAATTGTTACAAGTTGTATGGAGTTCAGCAGAAAATGGCTGACACTGCTGCGGTGGTTTATGTCTGCAGTGTTTTCACCCTGTGTAATAATAAATTTTGATGTATTCCTCAGACACGATTATCATTGCTGCGGAGAATAAAAGAAAGAACAGACAACCAG